CCCTGAGCGGGAACATCCTAGTTCTTGCACAAGAAGCACTGATTTCATACATTAGAAAGTCAGTGTTCTTGCACAAGAACTTGCGGCCAGGGTAGACAGGCAGCAAGTTTTGGCACAAAAGCGGCTGCTTTTGCGCAAGATCGCACCAATGTAGACACAGCCAAGTAGAGATAATTTTTTATTTCAGAAGATGGAGAAAGCTACTAGGGGAGCAGCTGACAAAGTGATCACGAAATGAACGGTGGAAGGGCACATGAGCTATGTCTACACTCGCGGCTTCTTGCATGAGAAATATGCAAATGAGGCTAAGCGTGGAATATTGCTGAGCCTCATTTGCATACCTAATGAGCTGCCATTTTTGCAGAAGAGGCTCTTGCGCCAGAAGGAGCTGTCTACACGGCCCCTTCTTGCACAAGAAAAACCCTCTTGCGCAACGCTGTTATTCCTGAAAATAATCGGCATAACGGCATTGCGCAAGAGGGTTTCACTGTGGGACAGAGGCTACTCTGGCTTAACCAGGAGATTTTCCATGATCTACATTTAAAAAATAAAAAGAGTCCTACAAAAAGTGGAATCCAGGCCAATTACAAAGGATGCCTATAAACAAGTCAAACAAGTAGGTAGAGACAAAAGTAAGAGAGTCCATGGCACAAAACGAGATCAGATTAGGGCATAACGGCATTGCGCAAGAGGGTTTCACTGTGGGACAGAGGCTCAGTGTAGACAGCTCCTTCTGGCGCAAGAGCCTCTTCCGCAAAAATGGCGGCACGAATCCAGGCCAAATTACAAAGGATGCCTATAAACAAGTAGGTAGAGACAAAAGTAAGAGAGTCCATGGCACAAAACGAGATCAGATTAGACAGAAACATAAAGGCTACGTCTACACTGGCACCCTTTTCTGGAAATGCTTGAAATGGAAAACTTTTCCGTTATAAGCATTTTTGGAAAAATCACGTCTACATTGGCAGGATGCTTTTCCGGAAAAGCACTTTTTGCGGTAAAGCGTCCGTGGCCAATCTAGACGTGCTTTTCCGCAAACAAGCCCCGATCGTCATTTTCACGATCGGGGCTTTTTTGCGGAAAAGAAATCTCTGCTGTCTACACTGGCCCTTTTCCGGAACAGTTTTCCGGAAAAGGACTTTTGCCCGAACAGGAGCAGCATAGTTTTTCCGGAAAAACACTGACGCTATTACATTAGATCGTCAGTGCTTTTCCGGAAATTCAAGGGGCCAGTGTAGACAGCTGGCAAGTTTTTCCGGAAAAGCGGCTGATTTTCCGGAATAAGTGGCCAGTGTAGACACAGCCAAAGGGTAACAAGAAAACATTCTACAAGGACATTACAAGCAAGAGGACCGGCCCATTACTCAGTAAAGGTGAGGGAATAATAACAGAACATGTGGAAATGGCAGAGATGCTTAATGACGTCTTTGTTTTGGTTTTCACCAAGAAGGTTGGTGGCGATTGGATGCCTAATATAGTGATGCCAGTTAATGGAGCAGGATCAGAAGCTAACATACAGGAAGAAGAGGTTCAAAATTTCTTAGAAAAGTCAGGTTTCTTCAAGTCCCCGGGGGCTGATGAAATGCACGTTTTGGTTTTCACCAAGAAGGTTGGTGGCGATTGGATGCCTAATATAGTGATGCCAGTTAATGGAGCAGGATCAGAAGCTAACATACAGGAAGAAGAGGTTCAAAATTTCTGAGAAAAGTCAGGTTTCTTCAAGTCCCCGGGGGCTGATGAAATGCACCCTAGGCTACTCAAGGTGTGGACTAAAGAGCTATCTGAGCCATTAGCCATTCTCGTTGAAAAGTCATTGAAGAGGGGAGAGATTCCAGAAGACTGAAAAGAGCACATATAGGCTATGTCTACTCTTGCGCAAGAACCCGCAGAGTGTCCACACGGCCCGCCCGCTCTTGTGCAAGATTTACAGTACGGCGTCCGAAGAGAGGGCTTCTTGCACAAGAGCTACGCTCTTTTCTAACAGGTGTAAGCCCTCTTGTGCAGGAGCTCTTGTGCAAGAGGGCAGTGTGGACGCACGGCAGGGGTTTCTTGCTCAAGAAAGCCCTGTGGCTAAAATGGCCATCGGCGCTTTCTTGCACAAGAGAGCATCCACACCACCATGGATGCTCTTGTGCAAAAGCACATGGCCGTGTGGACATGTTCTTGTGCGAGATGTTCTTGCGCAAGAACCCGCCAGTGTAGACACAGCCCCACAGTCCATCTATAAAAAGGGGAAGAGCACAACCCAGATAAACACACATTAGCCAGTTTAACTTCTGTGCCAGGAAAGTTAATGGAGCAAAGAATTAAGCAATCAATTTGCAAACCTCTAAGGGTAAGAAGGCGATAAGTGACAGTTGGCATGGATTCATCATGCCAAACCACCTGAGAGCTTTCTTTGTCAGGATACCAAGCCTTGTGGATAGGGGGAAGTGGTGGACCCAGACTTAGTAAAGCTTTAGGTAGAGTTTCACATGACCCCCCTCCTTAACAAGCTAGGGAAATGCACCCTTACTGGAGCTCTGATAAGGTGGGCGCCAAACTGGCTGGAAAGCCATTCCCAAAGAGTAGTTCCTGGGGTTGGCAGTGAGCAGGGTTTCCCGGGGATCAGTTCTGGGTCCAGTCCAGCTCAACGTCTTCAGGGACTTAGATGACAGCACAGCGAGTACATTTCATGTGAAATTTGCGGAAGGCACCAAGCTGGGCGGGGTTCCAAGGGCTTGGGTGGGTAGGAATAAAATGCAGAATGATCAGGACAAACCGGAGAGATGGGCTGACGTACATGGGATGACATTCAATAAGGACAAATGCAAAGGTGACACGTAGGGAGAACACGAGAGGCACGTGCCCCCCTAATGCCATGGGCAGGAGTGGCAAGGGGCAGGCCAGCAGCTGGTGGGGCCAGAGTCCCTGGGCATCCAGGGGGACCAGTGGGGGGCCTGGTGCCCGCAGCAGGAGTCCCGCCCCCCCTACTCCCCAGCAGCAGGGGGGAGCACCGCACAGAGGAGAGGTAGGACCACCCCACACTCACTGGCAGGAAGCGGGGCCACACAGCCGGGGGAGCAGAGTGAGCCGGGGCTACGTTGCCCCACTGCCCCGCCACTGCCAGGAGTGGGCCCTTTGCTCGGGGTTTCTAGCCAGGGCTCGCCATGGGGAGCCCCACTCACCAGCCACGCTCTCCGGCGTTCTGCACATGCGCAGATCACCCAAACCCGGCTCTTCCGGGATGTAATCGACTCGCCACGGGTGACTAGATGACATAGATTGTCGAGCCCTGTTTATAGCTATGAACCCAGTTTACAGTGTTTCCCCAAATTAACAAACATCAGAACGGCCAGACGGGGTCAGACCAAAGGTCCCTCCAGCCCGGTGTCCTGTCTGCCCGCAGTGGCCAATGCTGGTGCCACAGAGGGAGTGAACAGAACAGGGAATCCTCACATGATCCCTCCTCTGTTGCCCATTCCCAGCCCCGACACACAGAGACCAGGGACATCATCCCTGCCCAGCCTGGCTATGATGGACCCAGCCTCCATGAATCTCTCTAGCCCTTATTTTAAACCCTTTTAAAGTCCCGGTCTTCATAACATTGAGTTACGTCCCCCCTTTGTGTAAAATTGTTTTGCTACACTCAAACTGTGTGTGTGCGTGTGCGTGTGTCTGTGAAATTGTCGCAGGTCCCTGGGCGGTGGCCCGAGCTGGTTTTGTGTTGTACTGTTGAATGCGCAGACGCTGAATCCCGGCCGCAGCCCACTCTGGCTGGCAGAAGGTTACAGAGAAGAGCTAAGTGGTGTTTTCACAAAAGCCGCCCGATACCACATCAGACACTGGCCCAGCCCCTTTCGTTTCAAGCCACCCTCATGCCATGCTCCTGAGAACAAAGGATGCCCAGAGGGGTAACACCGCCCACCCCCGGCTTCCAGAGACAGAGGTGGGGCTAGAACCCAGCTCCACAATTCCCCTACCGTTCACCACGGCTCTGAGGGGAAGTTTAAGGTCATGCGTGAGGGAGCTCCGGAGCGGTCAGAGAACTGGGTCTCACCAGCCAATGGAAGGCAATGGGAGGGGGGTTCGTCTGGGCATCTCAGCTGTACTTGGACTGAGACCGGCTCTGGGTAGCCGGCTCAAACCATTTGGGACTCTGCAGGGGAAAGCAGCACCGTCCTCTGCACCCGATGGCTGCGCGACGGCCAGCCCACGCTGCTGACTGGCTGCTGTCACCCCCAACCACCCGTCAGTGGCTGCGTTCTGCAGGAGCTGCAGAGCCCGGGGGGCTCGCTGTTGCCTCCCCTTGGCCAGCTTGGCCAGCCCCGGTCATTTAGTGCCACGTTCTTGTTACAAGACCGCGCCGGAGCCTGCTCCCCCTGCCAGCAGGCTCAGGCCCGAGGCCGGACGTACCCAGTAGAGGACCTCCGTCCACCCCTCCATGGTGATGCACTGGTACACGGTCAGCATGGCAAAGCCAAAGTTGTCAAAGTGGGTGATGCCGTTGTTGGGCCCCGGCCACCCGCCCCTGCACTCGGTGCCGTTGATGGTGCAGTGATGCCCATGGCCGGAGCTGGCGCATGGCGACGGCTTCTCCCATTCCACCGTGGCAATGATGTCTGAGGGCGAAACCGAAGCACCGCGGTCAGGCCGAGCAGAGGAGGAGACCTACCTGCCTGCTGCTGCCTGCGCCTCAGCCTCTATGCCCACCTAGAGGAGGGCTTTGGTGCACTGCAGTATACCTCCCAGCCATCCCATATAGCCTTATAATGCCCCCAGCCGTGCCATACACCTCCAGTCCATGCTAGATTGCCATATTACACCCCCAGCCATGCCATATAATACTCCCAACCATGCAATATACTTCCCAGCCATGCCATATAGCCTTATAACACCCCCAGCCATGCCATACACCTCCAGCCATGCCAGATAGCTTTATAATGCCCCCAGCCATGCCATATACCTCCAGCCATGCCATATAGCCTTATAATACCCCCAGCCATGCCATACACCTCCAGCCATGCCAGATAGCTTTATAATGCCCCCAGCCATGCCATATACCTCCAGCCATGCCATATAGCCTTATAATACCCCCAGCCATGCCATACACCTCCAGCCATGCCAGATAGCTTTATAATGCCCCCAGCCATGCCATATACCTCCAGCCATGCCATATAGCCTTATAATTGCCCCCAGCCATGCCATATACCTCCAGGCTACGTCTACACTGGCATGAATTTCCGAAAATGCTTTTAACGGAAAAGTTTCCCATTAAAAGCATTTTCGGAAAAGCGCATCTAGATTGGCAGGATGCTTTTCCGCAAAAGCCCTTTTTGTGGAAAAGCGCCCGTGGCCAATCTAGACGCACTTTTCCGCAAAAAAGCCCCGATCACCATTTTCGCGATCAGGGCTTTTTTGCGGGAAACAAATCTCTGCTGTCTACACTGGCCCTTTTGCGCAAAAGTCTTTCAGAAAAAGACTTTTGCCAGAATGGGAGCAGCATAGTATTTCAGGAAAGGCACTGACGATCTTACATGAGATCATCAGTGCTTTTGCGGAAATTCTGTGCTGTCTACACTGGCCCTTTTGCGCAAAAGTCTTTCGGAAAAAGACTTTTGCCCGAACGGGAGCAGCATAGTTTTTCCGGAAAAGCACTGATGATTTTATATGAGATCGTCGGTGCTTTTCCGGAAATTCAAGCAGCTAAGTGTAGACAGCTGGCAAGTTTTTCCACAAAAGCAGATGATTTTGCGGAAAAACTTGCCAGTCTAGACACAGCCCCAGACTATACCATATAACCTTATAATGCCCCCAGCCATGCCATATAGCCCAGTGTTTCTCACCATGGCATTCAACTTAGGGGTACTCAAGAGAAGTCTCGGGGGTACATCAACACCACTGAAATTTGGAGAAAACGGAATTTTTGTTGTAAGTTTTACAGCACTTTCTTATTTTGGTACTTTTTACACCCAAAAATTTCATCTCCTGCCCAGCTGTGATTAAGTTGTATAAACAAACGTGTTGCAATGGTAGAACAAAAGTGTGTGTGTCTGAAAATTGTAGGCACTGGGAGTGCTTAGAATTTTTTTGAAGGGGTACTTAGGGTTGAGAAACACTGCTATAGCCCCCAGCCATGCCATCTAGCCTTATTATGCCCCAGCCATGTCATATAACTCCTAGCCACACCACCTAACGCCCCCTGCCATGCCTTATACATCTCCCCACCACGGCACTAGCCAGGCCCTGCTCCTGTGCCTGCAGCGCCAGTGTGGACAGTCAGGGCTGGGTTTCCCTAGGCCACCGATGGATTTTCTCCACAGCGGCAGCCAGAGCAGCACGGCCCCGATCCTCGTTCCCCATCCGGCCCGCGCTCCCCACCTGTCCCGACGTAGTAGCAGGTCTTGTGCATCTTGCCCTTGAACAGCTCCTGCCCGACTATGGCGTAGATGATGATCATGAAGAGGACCAGCAGGGCGATGTGCAGCAGGGGCACCATGGCCTTGATGATGGAGTTGAGCACCACCTGCAGGCCTGCAGCCGAGCGAAGGGGAACCCGTCAGCCCCCTCCCCGCCGCATCGGCTGCCCAGCAGGGTCCCACTTCGCACAGAACTCCTGCACTGGGCTGGCAGGGACAGGCAGGGAGGGAGACCCCTGGACATGGCTGGCGGGTCACTAACAGCCCAGGAGCATGTGTGAGACGGAAGGAGCCCTGGTGGCTAGCTCCCAGCCAAATGGCTCTGTGCCAGAAAGCCTCATGCTGCCCCAGAGGGATTGGAAGAAGGGGGGGATCCAATCTCTCCCCTTTGGGGATGGTTTCCCAATGGAGACGTTTGGCTCCTGGACACTGGGGTGACACCCACCAGCTCCCTTCACAGATGGGAGCGACCTGACGCCTGCTGTGGCCCAGTGGATTGTGTCTGCAGGCACCAGGCGCCAGCCCTCCGCACAGGCCGTAGAACAGGGACTAGCTAGACTCTGCCCCTCGGCTGGAATCCCGCCGAGAGCCAGCCCCACAGAGCAGCGCGAAGGGGCAGCCTGCGCCATGGGCCGGGACCCCCGCAGCCAGCGTGCGCCTCCCGCCAGCCCGCCCCCCGCTGCCCGGGCAGCTCTCACTCACTTGGCACTCCGGACACCAGGCGCAGGGGTCTCAGCACGCGGAAAGCTCGCAGGGCTTTGACGTCAAAGCCGCCCTTCCCCGCCTGCGGCGCCCCCTGCATCACGTTGATCTGCTCCACCATCACGGTGACCAGCCTGCCCAAGGGACGAGGAAGGGGCAGGGAAGAGAGAGGGAAGGGGAGATGGGGGGAGCAGACAGGAAAAAGAAATCCAAGCCAGGAAAGTCAATCTCGTCCCTTACAGGCAGGGAAGCTCCCAGCCCAGCCCTAGCCTCCTCTCGGATCCAGCCGACTCCGTCGGGACTTGTCCCCATTTTTCGGGATGGCCAATGACCCAAACAACCAGCAATTCTCACAGCTCCAATTTACACCCAGCCCACGTACAGCACCTAAAGGTGGGCGGGGTGGGGGGTGAGCTCAGGGAAGCAGGATCAGTAGGGCCCTACCAAATTCACGGTTCGCTTTGATCAGTTTCACAGCCGCCAGGTCTCAACATTGGTCAGTTTCATGATTTCAGACCTTAGATCTGAAATGTCACGGGGCTGTAACCACGGGGCCCTGATCCGCAAGGGGGTGCTGGGGGGTGTCACCGCTGTTGTAGGGGCTGCACGGTTGCCATGCTCACGTCTGTGCTGCCCGCCTGCGGCGTTTCCCACCCCTGGAGCAGGTTGTGTGGGCTACAGCCCAAAGATCGGGTGTCCGGAGTCCCAGCAGGAGCTACGAAGGTTGAGCTTGGTCACCCAAAACCCCAACTGGAGCCTGGGGACTTCCCAGCCCGGGCAGGAGCTGCTAGGAGGGGGAAGCAGCCCCGAGCCCGGATGCCCAGAGCCTGGTAGGGTGGCCATCAAGGTACCTCAAGAACAGAGGTCAGGTGTATTTAGTGCTTCAGGGGCCCAGGGCAGGTGATGTGGGGGAGTCAGGGCTGGGGGTGGAGGGGCCCAAGGCAGAGGGCGGAGGTGGGCTGGAGCTCCCTCCCTGCCCCTCCCCAGCCCAGCTGATATGTGGGAGATCCCATGTCACGGGGCAGGGCTCATTTCACGGCCTGTGGCGTGTTTTTCACAGCGTAAGAGTGGCAGGGGTGGAAAAAGACACAAGAGCCGCATACGTGAGCCTGGTCCCCCTGGCGTCCCGAGAAACTCTCACACGGCTTCAGGGGCCTTTGGACCAAACTCTCGCTGTCGGGCCTGATCACGTTGCCCCACAACCCGCCCAGGACACTGCCCCCAAAGCAGCCCTCGCTCACCCCAAGGAGACGATGGCGAAGTCCAGCACGTTCCAGCCGTTGCGGAGGTAGGCGTCCGTGTGGAGGAGAAACCCATAGGCAATGATCTTCAGCATGGCTTCGATGGTGAAGATGATCAGGAAGATGTATTCTATCTTCTCCTGCAAGAGACCGAGGGCACAAGGGGATGATGGGCCCGGAGCGAGGTGGGTGACAGGCCAGCAACTCCTAGCGGGGGCGGGGGGCACAACACAGCAGCCCTGGCCCTCCGCAGCCCATCGTTCAGCAGAGCGCAGGTCGCTCATTGCAGAACTGCCAGTGTGTGGGGTTGCACAGCGAGGGGGTGGGAATCTGCAAAGGGGCCCTACACAGCCCTATGACCTGCGATGAGGATTTGCAGCAGCACACGCGTGTGGCAGTGCTCCAGCCCCAGCCCCTGGTCCTGCCCTGCCCGGCGGGTCTTGGGGATGCCTCGGGGGCTCCAGTGACTCTCCCATTGCCTCTTGTCTCTCACAGTTCCCCGCTTCATGAGCCATTTCCATCACAAGCCAGTCATTGGCCTTCTGTGGGCCTAGGCTCCCCTTTCCCCCAGGGGCAGCCCACCAGGTGTGGGGCGGGCTGGGGAACCCGGTCCCGCCCACTTACTCCAGGTTCCAGCCCAGGGCCCTAGGTAGCAGCCGCTAGAGGGGGTCTTGCCCTTATCCCCCCAGAATAGCAGCCTCTCCCTGGGCCACTTCCCAGCTGCGCCCACAGGGCCTTCTCCCAGCACCTTGGGGAGACCTCGCCCACTTGTAGCCGGCCGCAGGCTGGATCCGGCGGCTTGGCCCACTAGCCACCTCTTGCCCCCCCTGAGATAGCTGTCCCTTTCTCCACCCTGCCCCCTGCTTGCCCAATGGGTTATAGCTGTCCTGGTCCCTATCTCTAGCCCCTTGCTGCCCCCTGTGGTCATTCTGCAGTATGACTCTCCCTCCTACCAGACCCCTCCCTTTCCATTTTATGAGAAACAATGGAATTCCAGGCACACCCCATTGTCCTGGCACAGCCAAACCCCGACCTTGCTTCAAGTTATGATAAGAGGAAGCTGCCCACCAGATCTGGTGAGCCTAGCTCTTGGTGTTTAGGAGGAGTTCTTGAACAAATGGACTCACAGACAGACAGACAGACCGAGGCACATTTCTAAACTATATAGTAAGATGACTCTCTTGCAGTTGGAACCAAATACGACCTCTTCTGCGTCTGCGCCACTCTTAAGCTCCTGCAGAACGTCTGCATTTGCAGCATACACTAAGCCACTTGTGCGCTGAAGATTGACTTGTTGGGAATATTACTCTCTCTCTCTCTCACTCTCTCTCTCTCACACACACACACACACACACACACCAGAAGGGCAGAGAAAGTCCGAAGGGCAGACCACAGGAGAGAGTGATTGTCTAGAATCGGTGTCACGAGTCTTGCTCTCGTGGGCTTGGCAATAGAGCCACTGGGGGGGACTCTCTAGTTCACGCATGCCCTTTGGCACGAGGGACCCGAGCAGGCCAGATGAATACTCTTTGAGCGACCCCCCAACTGTTGGCCCCACTCGGATTAGTGGCTTGCTGATTTGCAGGGAAGTTGCACCCACAGCCTCCCATTAACACTGTCGCTGGGCAGCACTTCCTCAGCCAGCTCCCAGGCTACCTCACGCCTGCTGCTCCTAACACACACAGCCTGCCTCCCTCCTGAACCCGGCCCCATCTGAGCCGCCCCACCCTCCCCAGGGGCTTGTCCCTCTTTCTGAAGTGCCATTGAATCTGAGCAAGACCCATCAAATACTGAGAAGGGCTGGGCCGGCTGGAGTGAGGACAAAGGCCTCAGCCTCCGTAAGCACCACAGAGGGCATCCTGCTAGTCCTTTGCTCAGTGACTAGTCACAGCCGTTATTTCAGCCAGCTTGACGTAAGACCCGTTGGCGTCCAAAGCTGAACTCAGACTGGCGACTGGAGGGTGATGGAAGCAATTAGAGGCCTGGGACATGTGGCCTCTGAGGAGAGGCTGAGGGAGTTGGGTCTGTTTAGTCTGCAGAAGAGCAGAGTGAGGGGGATTTGAGAGCAGCCGTCAGCTCCCTGCAGGGGGTTCCAAAGAGGCTGGAGAGAGGCTGCTCTCAGGGGGGCAGTGACAGAACAAGGAGCCGGACCCTAACCCTAACCGCTCCCCTCACAAGGGGCAGGGACTGACATGGTGTCAGGAAACACAGCGGTGTCACCGCTTGGCACTACAGTGGGACCAAAGCCAGAACCTCCCCAGCTCTCGGCCGATTCCCATCGCTCTTAGGCCCGTTCAGCTCACTCTGGAAGTACGAAGGGGCCTTAAAGTGGGTGTCCCGGAGC